TTGAACTTTACTTAAATGATTACATATTTCTCAACATAAAAAATTTTACAAATATTTTGCTATATTTGCTATATTTTTCTTGAATTTTGGCCTCAATGCTTCTGCAAACTTTGCTGCATTAACTCTATAATGGCTAATTTGGTATAACTAACTTAAAACAGCTATATACAGTCACATGATATTACTTTTATACTGTAAATTAATCTATATACACATATTTAATTAATTTTAAATATAAAACAGCCTAAAAATCAGTTAACTCAGATATACCTTAACAACAGTTGAAATTGGTTTGGAAGAGCTGCACATTATTATTTGTGATTCAGTTACTTCATTAAAACTAACAATCACTAATAACAAAATGAAGCTGTTCTAAACCAGTTTTAATCATTGTTAAAATAATCTTAAAATATACGTATCTTGATTAAATGTCAGTGGACTTTTGGGTGAATATATACAGGTGTCAATAATTAAAAAATACTACTTTAGATCACTCAAGAGACAAAACAGTTAGAAATTTTGTAAGCACATTTATCTCAATTTGGGAAAACTATGAACAGAATTTCAAAAATAATTACAATTTTTGCCATTAGCATCTAAAATTGCCACTATCACAGCAGCATAAAAAAACTGACATGTTTTCCACCACTCTCAGTCACATACTGCAATTGAGTTATCACATTAACAACAATCAAATGCAACATATTAATGACTCACAAAAACCTTTGAATATCNTGCATGCACAACTTATCGGACTTAACTTATTTTATTAAACATTTTTATTGCTGGATATTTAAAGGTTTATTTTTATTTTAAATTATTCATTCCAGTATAAGTTCTTGTTATTTGTTAGCAAATAAGTATGTAAATGAGGGGAGTGATCGCATTCAGAGTTGTGACGTCACCTCACAGTATAAAGTCGAATCTCAAGTGAAGATGGACGAGGTGAGCTTCTGTTAGCAACGAGCTTGGTGAGCTTCGTAGCAGCAAACGAGAGAGAGGTGTCTGATAGGATAAAATAGTTCCAAGGCAATTTTGAAGTTATTCAATTTGTGGATCGAAGATTAGAGAAAGTCTTGAGAGTTGAGGAAAAGGGTTCCTAGTATATTGAGGTGACGATTAGGATCTTTAATTCATAAGAATTATTGTACATAAATTAAGTCTTTGATTTTTGCTGAATTCCAAAGGGGAATAGAATTAAGTTAGAAAATAGATTGATTGAGTTTTGTCGGGTTGATTCTTATTGATTTTCATTGAATAAATTGTTACTTGATTTTTACTAAATTTGATGTATAGTTATTATTAGAATTTCTTATTAAATATTTGATTTGTTATTGACAAACTTTGTCATTATTTAATTCGGTGCACGCTTAAAGTCCAGGCCTGGCACACTAACGCAAATCCGCGTAAAGTACCCATTAATGAATGGCTATTTCCGGCACACAGTCATGTCGATAATCGTTGGAAAAGTCAGAAAAATAATATAGTACTTTACAAACATTACAACTGGCCTTGAAATCCATACCAACTCATTCAAACATGTACAATGTTCCATCATCTACTCACATTTATATCCCGTAGTGGAGCTCTTGAGAGCACTCACTCTGGGGGTATGGATGGCAGTTAGTTTGCCCTTGTTTTGTTTCAACTGTCTGTATATAGCTGCCTTTCAACTTTATATTTTAATTCTTATTTTACATCTTCTTTTTCAGTCTAAATTCAGTTAGTTTCAGTTGGCCATAGTTGCAAGTTAGATTAGGGACTCTTAGCTTGTTTTCTGGTTAGGTTAAATTAGATTATGGTTTGTAAGCTTTAGTCATCTGATTAGGTTCATCCTAGGTTATGGTAGGTTAGTTTAGTTAGTGAGTAAGTTAATGTTTAAAAAATATTATTAATAAAAAATAAATAAAATAAAAATAAAAGAAATTTGGGGAATTGCTTGTTTGTTCCTCTTGTGTAGTTTGTCGTTGTGTTTGTTTGTTCAGGCTATCTGTCTAGCTGTTAAGTAGTATTAAGATTTGCACTTATGTTCAGTTTTATGAGTATTAAGTAGATATAAGTCTTCCTACTAACAGCCACTTGGCATAAAAACTGCATGCCAACATCAAACAGAGGGTACTGTAGCCATATGTACGCTGTTCAGAGGGATCCTACCTTTATCTACTGTCTATCTCCTCTCCCTCCTTCTTCCCCCCCTTACCCTCACCCTCTTTTCTGCCAGCTAAACACTTCATGCATGGCCAATGTCTTTCTTGTATGTATGTATGTATGTATCATTATATATCAGTAAATAATCATCAGCATATCTCATAAAAATCTTTACACCTGGAATATTATTTATTTTCTCATCAATGGTTTTCATGACTAATTCTGCTAATTACTGTTATCGTGAAAGATTTTTTATATTTTCTTATGTTATGTAAAATGACTGTGCCATAAAAATTCTCTTTCCGTGATATCTAGATAATATTGTCCTTACTTACATTTCTTATATTTTTTTGTATAGCACTGAGGAGGGGTTTGGAATACAAGCAAACCTGAAATGCATTTGCAATGTAATCCAATTTTTAATAAAAAGTAAAGATGTTTCTAACTGTGATGCTGTGAGATAATCTACCGAACAAAAGTTTGGATTAAAGAGCCATTCATACACAAGATCCAATATACAGCAACCATAAAACAGAAAAATCGAGGAAAATAGTCTTTTGGACAAAGAAATAAAACAAGCTGACATCAAGAAAACAGACAAAGAAGATCTGCCAATACTATAAGCCTTTTCTTTACAGTCCAGACAAAAGACAGAAAAAGGAAAATGGAAGAAATCAGTAAAGGGAAATGTCTAATTCAAAGCTCTGTTCAAGTGTTACAAATGTAATAAGATACAAGCAAATCAAATTTCAAAAGATAAAATAGAAAATGCAAATCACAAACAGCCAGTATCATTTATATACATCAACAATTTATAAAATTATAACTTCTCACAAATTCTAATTTTTTTGAAAAAACTACCAGAAACAAAATGCCAATTTTACAGAGATGCTTTCAGATTCCAAAACAAAAGTAAATTATCTCACCAAAAACAGTTAATAATTTCTGTAATATGTCATCTATTGTGTGTTTATTTCACTATTTCTCCAACAGTTAATGCATCAGAGACATTAAAATAAAAATTTCTAGAGCTAAATGAAAATATAAAAACTGTCAATTGGCATTACTGGTAAATATGTTTAATTAATGAGTACAAGCACTTTTGACAGTATATAACAGTTTTCTTCAGATAATATGGCAGATGGAACATTATAAATCTAGAGATAAAACACATTTTCAAATTGCTCTAGATGCACAAGCATGGAACATAATTCAAAAATACAAAATTATACACTATTACAAAATAAACATAATATACAATGGCAATGGTTAACAAAAATAACAGAATTAATATACACAGAAATAATTAATAAGATAAAGAAAATTTAAACAAAACAAACACTTGAGCCCCCTAGCCACCAGTATCTCCTTGTCACACAACTGTGACCTACGATTTTAGCAAGTCAAACAGCACAACCCATATCAAGTGTGGGAGTTGCATGGGAACATTGATGTAATAAACAAAGACTCCCAAATGAACAAGATTTGCTTATCCCCACAGTGTTTTACTAGCAAAACTTGTGACCAAATAAGATCAAAGTTATATTCCATCATTTTTTTTGGCTAGCTCTGTTGAACATCTCCCATGTGTAATATCTTCATGATGCTCTGCTAGATGGACACGGAGCATTTTAGTAGTGGTATCTATATATAAAAAATTTGACTCAGTTAGTGGATTTTGTAAAGGTGTAGCATAAACGCCAAACTTTTCAAAAAATGTAACCCCATCTCTATCATTGCAAAGTATCCTATGCAATGTGGGCTGGGAAGCTAGTGATAGTATATACCCAAATTTTCTAAAGACTCAGAGTAAAGTTTCTTCCCAAACTTCATCTCGTTGAGTTGATTTGCCGTATTTGTCACAACTCGATATAGTTTGATCCAGGTTCATTGAAAGTACATCTCCCCACTCAAGATAGACAATATTTACAGTTTATATATATATGGAGTAAGTTGGCAGTACAAGTTGGAAAACACAGTAAATACAGGATACATAAAGCGTGACAAATACATACTAGATTGGCATTCGAGAACTATTAAGCTTTGGAGAGGCCTCACAGTCAGCCTGTGGAGTGGTTCAACTGCACAATTCGTCCAGTCTCAGCACTTACCTGTCCCTGAGATAGTTACCAGAGGAGTATGCTCTCTAAGTTCAGCAGGCTTCCCAAGTGCCTGAGACTTCCGTGTTACCAGTCTCTTTCCCTTTCTTTTCTCCTCTCCTGTTCGCTCTGCAATTTAAGGATTTTTTTGGAGGAAACTTCCGACCAATCACAAACCTCCATGCATGAACAGCTTTCACCCAGATCCACTTTTCAGATGAGAGTGATGCTTACATTTACATCTGCCAATATTCCAACCTACTTGTTTACAGCCAGGAGTTCACCAACAGGCAAGTGGTCTATCACCGGACCACATGTGGATCCAATTAGTGAGATCGACGCTTCTTTTGTTCCCTCTCTGTTTACAACTTTGTTAACAATACTTTACACTCAGCATATACATAAATATATACCTGAAGACAGTTATATACTGTTGAAAGTGTTCATACACATTAATTAAACATATTTACCAGTAACACTAATAGACAGTTTTTATATTTTTGTTTATTTTCAGTAGGTAGCATTAGTTGTTTTTATCTCATTAATTTCTAGAGGATGTATCATACCAAATGTATGATACAGCAAAGCCAAAAAATCAACAGTGACTGGAGAAGGGGTTAAAATTCTTCTTCAGTTTTAATTTTCTATTTATAAATATTTTTTATATATAATAAATATTTAAAAAACATAGCAAATGTATTTACATGAAAATTTACAATTTTTTACATTAATTCTCTTTTAATTTTTCTCATTTCTTAACTTGAAGATATTTTGGCATAATACAAAACTGTATCATAAATCCTGACTAGTGGGACCAATTTTAAGATGATAAAACCAGAAAACTGATTACAGTGATTCTTTTGCAAGTATATCTTCTGGACTGTATAAAAATACAACAAAACTTTGAAAGTTTTCATTTACAACTAAAATTACTTACGGATTAGTGGGGGAAAAAACAAACATGGAAGAATATGGCAACATTGGTCTGGGCCCTGTTATTTCATCATCATTTTCATCTACTTCTTGATTCTGCTCTTCTTTTAACAAAAATTATTATTGTTTGATTAATAATATATTTAATCAAATTTAAATATTGTTTTAAACTATTCTTTTAATTTAATAAGTAATTTCTGTTTTGAACAAGAATAATTGTAGGAAAAAAATTGATGTTTAACTAACAGGTAACAAAATAAAAAATTTAAAAAATTTTTATTTATTTTTAAATATAACAATCAAAATCTTAATACAAATAAAAATAAGCAAAACAGACATGTTATAATGATAAAATTTTAAAATTATTATTACCATCATCTAACAAATCTATGTTAATTCTCTCCTTTAAATCAGGTTTTTTATTTGCTACAATATCCAGTTGTGTTTCATGGGCACCTGTCCAATTTTTCATATTTTCCTTCTTGCTAAAAATAATTTTCGAATGTAATATAAATAAATAAAAAAAGAAAAGAAAAAAGTTCAAAACTAATTATGCAAATTTAATTTATTTTAGTAAAATACATAAATTACTTCAAATTCAATTTCCAGCATGACAAAATTTGAAAGCTGTAGTATGGAGATTTAAAACTTAATGTATGATAAAATATGATCCAGAAGACTTTTTCCACTCTAATATTTGATATGATACTATTAAATCATAAGGAATTTTATCAATCAACATTGATCAATGCAACTTTCCATAAGAGTTTTCTAATGGCCAATCAGAAATATAGTATTAAAGCTAAGGTTGTGTTCAGAACAAAATAAATTTGTTTTAAATAACTTAGTACATAAAATAAAAACAAAAGTTGTTTTTATTTTATGTACTAAGTAGGGTTTCTCATTTCCCAGTCATTTGCTTGTCCCAGAATTTCGGGGGAAAAAGTAAACTGTTTCCCGGAATTAATTATGGGCTATCCACCTTCTTAGCATTCAAATACTATTGCATCTCTGTGGCTGTACAACTTCTGAATGGTTATGTGTGAGAAATGTGACCGTTCTCACCAGCAAACCTGTTGGCTTCCAACTACACATTGTATTATGACAATTGTTACTTTTACCATGTTCTAGCACCCCTTAAAGTTGTGACCATCTTTCCTCTTACACCCTATATACAGGAAATGTCAATTTTCAGGGGTAGATTCTTCGCTCCCCAAACATCTAAAGTAATTCTGAATAGCTCGTTCAAAACATAATTGTTTTCTTAGATAGTGTGCAAAATTTCAAGATTTTCAATTGCCAATTAGACACAATATAATCTTTACTTAATAACATAGCATCTGAGAAGTGTGTGGAAGCAATGAAGTGTAAGATGAAAGTTGTAATATCATCAATTGAAGAGAAAAGGAAGTGCAACGCAATAGCAGTACACTTGTGGCAGATCTGGTGCCATGTTTAATCTGTAATCAGGGTATTTAATTGTTTTATTTTTACCATAAATTAAGTGTATTTGCTATTTAAGTTTATCAAAACGGGTATTGTTTAGAGTTTGGGAATAGATTAATCACTTTCCATTATTTCTAATCAGAAAAATTGTTTCAGAGTTCAAACAATCTCTGGAATGAATTAAATTTGAAGTAAGAGGCACCACTGTATATAGAATGTAAAATATCAGTAAAACTTGAATTTACTAATAGTAGAGTAACAAAATGCTAACATTATTACATTCAAAACTAACTATCAGGACTATTTATCAACCAAAACATGAAGGTATGGTGTACTGGCAGACAGCATAAAAAAGCATCAGTAGCTGGTATACAGTACTGGCAATTGCTCAGTAAAAACAATACTATATGTTCAGTCACCAAATCTGCATACTCATAGTATTTTTAGAAAATGAGCACTGTTAATAACTGATTTTAGAATTTCTTACTGGTTATTTTCTTTTTTCTCATCTATCTGATTTTGAGGAGATGGAGGACAGATATTAACTTGCGGTGGATCTGATCCTGTACTTTGCACTTGAAATTCGGCAAGTTCTTTTTCTAATTCTTCTTTGTTTCTCTGAAATTTAAAAAAAAAAAAATCAGTAACAATACCTATATTACCTATGATGATATATTTACAAATATTTCTAATTTTTTCATTCCAATCACAATTAATTTTTGCTGTTTATTTTTTTTTTTTAAATTATTTACATAGAGTCATGTATTTAAGTGTAATAATAAATTTTAAAAATAACGAACATGAAATATTAGTGTTAAAATTACTTATATTCTACATTATGATTTTTAAAGGCAATTTTTACTAGCACTTCAAAATATATTTCACTGTCACTAATTCTTATTGACAGTTTTTTAACAACCTTACTATCAAAATTTTGCTTTTCCTAATAGACAACATTAAAATGCAAATTGAATATATGAATATCTGGGAATATACAAAACAAATAATCTATATAATCTGAACATAATTAAAATCACCTAGCAATGTGAGAACTATAGATAAATAATATTCAAAGATATCTCTTGCAAAGATAATTTTTTTGTTGTATTTTTTAAATAAGTTTTAAAACAGATTTATTGATAGAATGGCCAAAGTGAAAAAAGGAATAAACCTGTCACCCAAGGAAAATGGATTTAAATCTGAGTAGGAACCATAGGAATTTTCAGGACTTTTATAGCTCTTGCCTTATCACTTGGCCACCCCTACTGTTAGCTTGGCTAAACACATAACAGACATGATAAAAAAGTCTCTTTGTTCAGACAAGATGGAAGAATTAAAAATAAATAAAGATATATTTCTTTAAATTTAAATTATTTAGATATATAAAAACTTTATATTTACATAAATGTTTTACATATCCAAACAAATTGAACTTAAGGCAGTTATTTTTATTTTATTTTATATAAGATGCAATCAAATAAAAAGATATCTTTCAAAATATCATGAATTATGTGGTACATGAGACATTGTTTCTTTTGTGGTAAACAGCCACAAGTATATGTAGTATCACTGCAACAGGACACTGGTACACACACGATGTCAGCAACTAGGTAGCATACACGTACTTATTAGTTTTCTTTCTCTCCCGAGTGGTATACATTGTGTAAGAAAATACAGGTGCCATTATTGAACATAACAATAGAAGAATGGCAAGGTGTGATATACTTCCTGTGTGTGGAGGATGCTTAACCAGTAGACATATAGGCCACATTTCTTTATGCAGTGAAAGTGTAGCGAAAATGACATCGTAAGCAGCTATCGCTACACATCGTTGCATCATAGTTTAGAAATGCTTTCCACTCCAGCAAAACATGGATGCCTTTAATCCCAGTTACAGCCAAAAGTAGTGCTTTAGTTAAAAAACTAATACAGCGGGTGATCGGTTAATGAACAGTTCAGATAGCGAACAAATCGGATAACGAACATTTTAGTTAAAAAACTAATACAGCGGGTGATCGGTTAATGAACAGTTCAGATAGCGAACAAATCGGATAACGAACACTTTACTGAACAAACATAAAAAGAAATGACAGAAAATAACAAATACCAATTGATTTTCCCTTGTCTTCAGGTAACAATTCAAAACCTTTCAGAGTGCGGGAGACGTCAACATTGACGCTCAACCCGATACTGATCAGATAGTATTCCTCCAAATTTTGAAACTCTCCCTTGTAATTCTAGCTTTTTGTTTACCTTTCTGACAAATAATTTTTTATAGTCTTTGTGAGATTGTCAGACAAGCACTTTTTAAGTTTTGCGTCGGGGTTTATTTACGAAAGGTGAAAGTTTAACTGTCCCATCAGATATTCGTTAACATTTTAATACCAAATTTTGAATTTCATCTGGGACTTGCATTTAAATAATTTTTTGTGGGCTAGTTGATTTCTGTTGTCTGAATTTTTGTAAGTGCTTTTCTAAACTTTTTATTTAAAAAAGAAACTGATAATATTATGGAGCCTAAAAAGAGGAGTGTCAAGAACTGTGCTCACCCTAGAAACCAAGTAAGAGATAATAGCCAAGGTAGAATGTGAGCACAAGATGTCTGATGTTGCTAGGTAGTATGGCTTGAACAGGTCTACATTAGGCACAATCTTAGCTATGAAAGCTATATCAAGCTGCTAATGGAGTAATGAAAATCACATCTGATAAATAAAGAGCATTTTAGAGCTCATAATGAAACCTGAAACTGATCTGACGACAGAAGAACTTCAAGAACTCTCAAATGAAGAATACCAAGAAACTCAGCGAAATGTGTTTTCTTTTGAAAAAGATGATGATGAAAGAGGACCAATGTCGACATCTGCTACTAAAGATCTTTTGAAGAAGTGGGAGAATGTCAGAACAACAATCATCCAAGTGACATCCAAACCAGAATAAGGTTAATGGGGTTGGGGATCTCTATAATTACAATGCTATTAATTACGTCCGAAAAATCCTGAAGAAAAGAGAAAAGCAATCAACATTGGACAGATTCTTTAACCCCCACAAACGGAAAAAACATGACTAATAAAAATGTAAGACTGCATATATATGTATTTTTACTATTACATATAAATAAACGTAGTAAAAAGTATATATTTTTTTATTTTTTGGAGTCTCCAGAACGAATTAATCAAATTCCCATAAAAACCTATGGTAAATCGATAATCAGTTAACGAAAAATTCGGATAATGAACAAAGTCTTGGAACAGATTATATTCATTAACCGATCACCCACTGTATATTTAAATAAAGAGATATAAAGAATTGAGCATTTATCTTTCCAAAAATATGAACAAAGTAAAGAGATAGAAGATATATAATTATATTTAAAATATAGTATTTTATTCTTTAGATAACTTTCAGAGTCATTTTATAAAATTTAATTCTTCTTAATCTTTCCATACCATTTTTATCAACAGTCACAGTCACTTCGACTTTTTTATTTTTACAGCATAATATCATACTATACACACAAGCATCCATTTTGCTTTACACATGTAGCAGATGTAAAAGCTGCTTTATCTTTGCTGCAGTGACCACTTGCAGCAAACGTATAGAAAAGCGCTGCATTTAGAAACTGTTTTCAGAGTGTTTGCTGTAAAGCGCTGCATAAAGAAATGCAGCCATACCATCAGATGATAATTGTTTACAATGACTAGTGTGCTTACTCTACTTCTTCGCCATCTTGGTGAACAAGTAGAGTAAGCAGTTTCGTGTTAGATACAATATGATGACAGACAACATATGTCTTAGTAAGATAATTAATTAGACTCTCAATGAAAAAATTGCCAAGATTGATTCCACTGTTTCAAGAAAACTGAAAGATTATTCTGGCATGCATCAGTCACACAGTTGGAGTGTCCTATGGTAGTGTGCAGCATATCATAAAGGAACAAGTAAGCTACAAGAAAATGTGAGCCTAATGGTTGCCAAAATGTTTATCAGTAAAATACAAACTGAAGCAAATGGAACTGTCACTGACACACCAGACCCTATATCATGAAGAGGGTGAGGGCTTTCTCTCAAGGATCATTGTTGCTAATGAGTCATATGTTGCCACTTCCAACCAGAATTGAAATGGACAACATGCAGTGGTAACACACAAGATCACTAAGACCAAAGATAACCAGGTCTACCCCCTGACAAGGTTATATTGACTGTTTCTTCACTCAACAGAGTCCTCTATTATTGGAATTCCTCCAGAAAGGGCAAACAAGCAATACACCCACACACTACGACACAATGCACTATCTGAGAACAGCAATCAAAAACAAGCAGTATGGTATGATCAGTAGAGGCATCATTCTGCTCCATAATAATCACACCCCCATTCTGCCTTGGTCATAGCAGAATTTTCCTTGCTGAGTTTGGTTGAGAAGTGCTTGATCATTTTGTCTACAATCTGCACTTGAGCTGTTGTGATTTTCACCTTTTTGATCTCTTTGATATGTGATCCCTTAAAAAACACTTCAAAGAATACCACTATTTATTAACACTATCCCCTTCTCACATTTCCAGCTATGAATATTTATCATCACATATAATTACAATGTATGATAAGCAACGCTTGTAACCTGAAGCAGACTCTGAAAGGGCCCAAAAACAATTGTGATGATAAATATTCATTGCTAGAAGTGTGAAAAGGTGTAGTGTAAGTAAGTAACTATTTTCAGCTTCCATAAAGTGAAAACACTTCTATGTTTCAGATGCAGAAGTGATGACTGCTTAACATGTGAAACTTTGGACATGGTCTGAGCAACTCACCAAAATTTGTTCAGGAATTTTTGAAATTAAATATATAGAACTAAAACCAAGAGAGACATAAAATTAACTTAATTTAACTTTACACAACATAGAAACAGGAACTGATATAAACAATGTAAGTCCTAAGATTAACCATCTCTGGTTGGAATTGGAATTAAAGCCAAATGATTGCCAGATTAAATCAGGCTACACTATCACTACTATTAATAGTCCAAGCGCAATATAATCCAGCAACATTGCTGGATTTATATTGGGCTGATAGCATATCATAGTCTGATATAATTATCAGGTGATTATATAGGAATTGGAATTCAACATCACATTTAAAGTCAAAGTTGATCTCTCCTGCAGCTGACTTGGTCTCAAATTACCCCTGGAAACAGGTATGAGACTAATCAAAAAGCGTGGACAGGAAAACCCATATCTCAAGAACACAAGATTCTTTTCCAGAAAAGTTCTTTGTTCCTTTTTTGACTGATTCCTTTTGACAAGTTCCTCAAGTTCATTCCCACTTCACAGACACTTGCAAAAACTATGCCATCTCCTCTTCAGAATGTACTTTTGAAGTACCAACTTCAACAGATCTCCTCTCTCTCTCTCAAATGATATTGAGACTTCTCCCTGTTCCAACTCACCAGATAACCAGTCTTCTCATCACTAAATTCATCAGTCAGAACTCAGATTGGCTCTGTGCCATTTGTCATGATGATAAACTAACTTAAATAAATACCAAAAAATTTTTTCATTTGAACTCTAATTCAGCATCAGATCCTCCTATCCTTCAATCCAGAACGCAGGTAAATTGTGGCAACTCGTTAAGAGAGAGATTTCACCCATCCTTCATGATGGGTGAAATCTCAAATGATCACAAACTTCACTGACCAGCCACTCTAACAAACTTTCGAAAGGACAAAACTGCCTTCTATTAAGACTAATTCACTTATAATTATGTGCATCTTGGAAGACCATGAGAAATTATAAGAATACACACTCTCTCTCTCTAATAAGCTGTTTTCTATCAATATGTAACCAATTCAAACACTGCTATTCTATAGGAATTATCACATCTTAGCCAATATAGCCAATATCTTAGCTTCTATAGGAATTATCAAAACTTAGCCAATCAATAACTTTTATTTTACCTTCGGTAAAATAAAGTTGTTGATTGGCTAAGTTGAAAAACAGAATAGAAGCAGAAAGATAAACTGTTTCCTGTAAAAATGAAGTTCTTACTTCAGTGCCCACACCACAAGTGACATTTCATCCCTTTCACCATCCTGAATGGTTGGACCTCTTTCTTTAAGAGAGTATCAGCCACATCTACACACATGATATTGGGGGCATGAACAACTTCATGGAGGTCCTCACAGACAAATTGGTTCAATTCCCAGAGCAAGGACTTACTTTATGGCTGCATTCATGCTTACTACTCAATGGGACAAGTGCTTTAATGAATATGGGGAAATATGTATAAACAGCTTCTACAGGCAACGGTATCTTTTCATTTGATCACACCTTATATTTTAAATAAAGTTATTTGTTCTGAAAATGAAGAAATTTATCTCAAAACATTCAGCATTGAAACTATTTTGATTTATTGGAGTAAACTAATATTTTCATTTAAATTTATAAAATAATTCAACATGATTTGAACTTAAAACAGCAATATTATATAAACATATTTAACGTTTATCACACATCATTTAACATATATCTACTGATATGTCATATGAATTTCATATAATAATCCAAAAATAAAAAACTGGCATTCAACATACATAAGATTACTAACATTGCATGCAAAATTAAAATTAAAAAGAAAATTTTCCATTTATTATACTTTAAATTCCATTTATAATTATAAAATTACACATTATATGTTACTACTAAAATAATTTTTTTAACTTACTTCTTTTTCTTCCTCTGCCTCTTCTTCTTCAGCTAATGTTAGTTCCTGAGCATTGGCCAAATTATCAACAGCAATGGCCAAGAACACATTTAAAAGAGTATCTTTTGAAAATTCAGGATTATTTAAAACAACATTTTTTCATATTGTTTCATTTAGTATTTAATAACAAAATCTCTTGGACATCAGCTTCAACTCCATAAATTTTAAATTACTATAAACAATACTAACAAATTTCAAAATATTTCAAATTTTAATCAATTAAACCAGAATTAACCATTTTTTGAGACCTTTTTTTTTGTCCCATCTTATATCCATCTCAGAAATTCCCAACTTTTGAATATACATTTAATTATGTGTTCCAAAGTCATAATGAGTTTTTTACAGATGTTCAACATAATTAAGCATTTGTATTTTTTTAAAATATTTACAACATTTTGCATTTCTTTTCACATTCTAAAACCATCCTTAAGGTTAGAAGCCCTGCATGCTATACTGCTATGCCTGCTGTACAATGTTATTGGAATTAAGTGAGATAAAGCATCCTGCAATCAGAATCAGATTCACATTTGCATTAAGTTATAATGGAATTGAGATGTATATACATTGTAGTTCATTTAAAACCTCTGAATAGTATTTTTTATAGTTTAGAGGTTATTTTATATTAACTGTGTTCTCAAGTATTTTGTGCAAACCAATGCACTAGTTAGACCTGATAATTGGGAGTTCAATGAAAATTGGTTTTAGAGTCAGTAACATGGTTTAGGCCCTGTACACACTAGGCGTTTTTCAACGCGCGTTTTAAAGAACCAAGAGTTCTATGTAGCCGTACACACTCAAACGCCAAGCGCGCGTTAAACGCGCGTTTATAGATTTTTGTTAAAACGCGCGTTTTGCGGGCACTTTACGGGCGCTTTGAGATATATGTGCTACCTTATAGCGACGATGGAGGAGCACACACAATCAATTACTTTCTCGTCCATTTCCAAACTGAGCCAGTGCTAAACGCCGAACTAACGCTCGTCGAACGCCGAGCTAACGCGCGTTAGCTCGGCGTT